AGTTTGCACATTCCGCTTCTCGGCAGCCCAGGGTTCGCCGGTTTGGATCCCGGGCGCAGACATGGCACTGCTTGGCATGCCATGCTGTGGTAGGCGTCCCATGTATAAAGTAGAGGAAGATGGGCATGGATGCTAGCTCAGGGCCAGTTTTCCTCAGCAAAAAGAGGAGGATTGGCAGTAGTTAGCTCAGAGCTAATCTTCCCCAAAACAAAAACTCTCAAAGGTCTTTCTGTGTGATTCTACCAGTTTCATGCAGGTGCAACACAGGGAGGAGCCCAGGGTTTCACACATGTGGGTGAAAGACCCTCCTCAGGCGTCTCCTTTCTGTGACTTCCAGCCCCCAGGATTCTCTGGGTTTAGCCTCTGCACTGTGTGCACTCTTGTGACTGGGACCACCTCAGGGCAGAGCAGCAAGAGAAGAGGACCTGCAGGACCACCACCACCACACCTGCCGCTGCGGCCGCTGCTGGTGAGGGGGCAGTTCAGTGCTGGCTCTCTGCTGGGTGGTGTCTGGAGAGTCACAGGGCTCTGACCCACAGGGGCTGCTGTGGGTGGAGGTGGGTGCCTCCTTGCTGGCACTCACCTGGAGGAGGGCTGGAAGGGTTAGAAAGCTCTGCCCCACAAGGGACACCGCTGCCACTGCCACCAGGCAAGAGTTCCAGTTTGTTGCTGGCATTAGCCTGGCAGAGGGATGAGAGAAGTCAAAAGAGCTCCCTCCTGCAGGGATTGCAGCCCCATAGTGGGGGGCTGCTGTTTGGTGGCTGGGGTGCAGCTGGAATAGGGCCAGGACTGTCCAATAAGCTGTGTCGTGCAGGGCTGGTGCTGGCGGTGCCGGAGGCAGTAGAGCTCGGGGTTGTTGGTACCACAGTGGAGGGCAGGGAGGTGCTGCTTCCTTGTGGGCACGTGCCGCTGGGTCCTCCGGAGGGTCCTGATCTCCTCCCCAGTCCACTGCTCTTATCCACCTTCCAGGGTCCTCTGACATTCACTGCATGCATTTTGTCTGGGGTTTTAAATGATATCAGTGGGAGAGACAGGGTGGGGTGGATTCACTCCATCTTGGTCAGAACTGCTAGTCCTTTTGTCTGTAATTATTTAAGCAGGAGGAATACAGGTGATTTTTCCTATAATTTTTAGGCGTTTCCATATTAAAATATTTTTAATGACTGCGGTCTCCAGCTTGAGCGTCTGGATAGAGGGGCTGCCGAGGAGGAAATGCTGTGGGGAGAGCAGGCGTGGATCAAGTGAACTGTGCGTGTTGAGATGTCAAGTCAGGGCTGCCCACAGATGGTGAGGCTGTGGCTAAGGGAGTCGGGGGAGAGAGAACGTCGGGAAACAGGTGGGAATCTGACATGTCCTCTGTGGGGGAGCCGAGGAGAGGGTGCTGCACTGGGAGGCAAGCAAGGATGAGAAGACATACACAGTTTGAGGGGCAAAGGAAAGGTGGGGAAACTGAGGCCGAGGTCCACAGCCACTCAGGAAGGGACGAAAAGGGAAGGATCAAGTCTAAAGAAAGGTAAGTCTGAACAAAATTGGTTTTAAGAATTCAAGATATATAAATATATATTTTGGCATGATACCAAAAAATATCCTTGCATCCTACTCAAATGAACTTGAATATGCTGAAACGACTGTGTCATTACAGTAGGTGACAGTCTCTCTGAGTTCATTCCCTCCAGAAAATGTCCCCGTCATCCCAAGACAAGATGGGCCTCCATCTACACTCCCCTGTGGCATCCAGCTGCCACCTGGCTCCTCAGGCTGATAAGCTCCTTGAGGCCCTTGTGCTTTTCCTGCCTTTTGGGGCCAGCACAGTGCTGTGCATCTGGCATAAGTACGTGAAATCTTTGTTGAAAGAATGAATGCATGAATCAGTGAGTACCAGAGCCTAGAAAAAAGGGTCAGAGAGCTGTGTGTGTCACGGTCACCAGCCCGGTCTGCAGGGAATAAGCTTGGACTGGAGGCTGAGGCTGGTTATCAGATGAGGCCCCCGGGTGAGAACAGCAGCTACTCTCCAAAACATCTAGCATGTGACCACAACCACGTAGAAAATAGATTACACACACACACAGAAAGAAGAAAGACTAGAAAGAAAGGCCAACAGGGATGACACCTAGAAAGCAGACTCATAAGTGATTGCTTTTTTCTATATACTTTCTGTATTTTAGAACTTTTCCACATGAGACTCTCTAACTCCTTTTTTCTAATTCTAATGCTGTGCACAAGAAGCTGCTTCCCAACCTGTAATTTAGACTCTGGGATGGATTGGCCCAACAGGAGGATGTGTAATGTCCTGCACAAATGAACAAGGCTGATGACCCTGGGCCATTCGCCTCCTATGGCTATTAGCCGATTAACAGGTCTCCTTGGTGTTGATGAGCACAGACATGGCACTGGGCTTCCCCAAGGTTGCCCTGTGAGGCCCAGCCCACTCGGCAAGCTGGGCTCCTCTGTTTATTGCAACAACCATCGAACCCTCCCCGGTGCCCCCACTGAAGGGTTTCTCCATGCCTTCAGAGAAGGAAGACATGGTGCGGAGGAAGATGAAGAGTGCTGGGGACAAAGCAGCTTGCATCCCCGAGGCAGAACCACATGCCCATCTGGGACACTTCAAAAACCTAACTTTATGATTCGTACCCCTAGAGCGGGGACAGGGGAGACGGCAGCCCATCTGGGAGCTCTGGGTAAAGTACCTGCCACCATAAGATAATAAACAGCAATAATTAGGCCTTTCTGGAGAACTGAGTAATACTGCTATTAAAACTTTTATTATCTGTATGTTTTACATGAATCTAATTGCCTTCAGCTGCCATAATTTGGGAGCAATGAGAATGACAATAGAAGTAATAATAATGAATTAAACCACAAGCAGATCCAGTGTCTGGAAAGGTGTAGAGGCTGCTTCACTGATGGGGTCTGACAGCACAGACCCTGAGATTCTGCTCTGTCTGCGTGAGGCTGCCCCCAGACTCCAAGGTCCTGGGTGGGACCAGGTGCAGCTCCAGCCTTTCCTGGCACTTGTCTCTCAAACACCACCACCCTTGGGAGGATCGCTTCCTAACAGACGTAGGAATTCCTCCCCTCCTCTCTGCACTGAAATGAAAATCACTACTTGTGCCCCGTAAAACAACCTACATTCTTTCACTCCAGAATTCGTCTGAATCGGTTATTTCTTGTGGCTCAGAGAATGTTAACTAAGACAGAAGAACAAGATAATTCTCTTCCACTATTTAAGAAAAGCCATCAGTAAATAAATACTATACTGTATTTTATAAATCAAAGAAAAAAAAATAAGGTCTTTAACTACAGGCCATTCCAGGCATTTGACAATGAACAAAGCATAACTCTCACAGCTTAGGCTGAGGAAGCTATAAATTATTAATGTGTCAAGCATTACCCTCTGAAGCTTCTTTTTCAGCTCTGACCATGAAGCTGAGTATCTGTCTGTTTAAGTCCCATGCATTCAGCAAGCCCTTAAGAGACATCTTCAATTCCAGGCCACAAAGGTGGATGGTGCTGATGTCAGGGTTTTATCTGCACAGAGCAACCCCCTACTCCCTGGCTCTTTCAGTGGTTTTTTGAATCACTCTACAACAGCTTCAACAACCTCGTGGAAGTTTGCAGAGAGGATCATCAGCTACAGTTGAACCTCCCCCAAAGCTCCCTCGCTGATTCTCCTAATATAGCCGCGCAGCAGCCACAAAAAGTCACAGCTGAGCCAAGGGGCCCGGAGCAGGCGGGCCACCTGGGCTCTCTGGGGGCGTTTTCCTGGAACCGCCTGCATCTCTGGGTGTCACCTTAGGAACCCGAAGCACTAATATACTGCGCTTTTACTGACTCCCTAGGAGGGAGACAGAGAAGATGAGCGTTTCTTTGAACTTGACTTTATGTTGCTTTGTGTGAGCTAGTTTTTCTGCTGTGTGCGCCCGTCACCTTCCTTTTAGCCTGTGGGGTCCCTAGGAGAACAACTGGGTTCTACTTCCTTTCTGTCCCACATTGCGGTGCTTAAGTGGAGTCCTGGACTTAGAGTAGCCACTTAAAATATCCTGAACATTGTGGTGGTTTTTTTTTTTTAAGTAAAATTTACCATGGAAAATTTCTCCCTAGGGCCCTCATCACGCACACAACTCATTTGTGTAGTTTTGTTTTCCGGAACACTGATTTCCATTAATAAAAAGAAACCCTCCATGAAAGATTCTTTAGCTCCACCACAAATTACCCATTTCCAACAGATTTCTCATTTCGTCTGAAACACTATAAAAAGTGATAAATGTCAAACACATGGAAAGGTCATCTATTTTGTCTCTGCTCATTTTAAAAGACAGTTGCTTTGGAAGATTCTCACCTTCTGCCCCTGTCTGAACACTGTCTCCCTTTTGGGATAGGAGTTAACGCCCACCGGCTGAGGGGCCCTCATTTTACAAAGGCTTGTGACTCCAATATACGGGATGCTTCCTGAGCGAGGCTGGGCCACGAGAGCCTAATTACTAAACGGGAGGAAATTCTTCCTGGGGGGAAAGGTTAGAAGGACCTTAAGTGAATGAGGAACCAGATGCTTCATTTATAACCAGGTAGCTTAGGCCCCGGGAGAGCTTCCATCAGTAACAGTACATAACATCCTAGGATTCTGGGGCTCACTGAGCTTCAGAGGGGAAAAAATGTAAGAAGCATTTGAGTTGATCCACTGAGAAGCCCATCTCTCCTCTCAGGAAATACGCTGCAAAATGAGTTTTTACATTTTCCTGACTCCTCTGAACTAAGAACGAATCCTGATATTTGCTTCCCCTTCTCCACTCTTTCTTCCTAACTCTTGATCAAACACATTAGCGGCACCAAGAAGAATTTTGACTTTTTCTTCCAATTCCCCTGCAACAAGCTTTCTACCCAAAGCATTTACGTGCTTCGTGGACGTCCAGCAAGATATGCCGACTAACACGATTTCGCCATGGTCCTCCCCCTCCCCGAACACCCTCAGGCCAGGCCGCCCCGGCTCGGGCTCTTACCAGCTCCCCTGTGCGGTGACCTTTTCTCCGCGGTCCTGCTCTCCCTTCTGGGCTCGTGGGGCGCCGCCTTCTCCAGCTCGCCGGGGCCGTCGGGGGGCGCGGGCGCGGGCGGGAGGGTGAGCGTCTGCAGCAGCGGCTTTCTGGGCAGCGGCGGTTTGGAGCTGAGCTGCTCCGATGCCCGGGCCCTCCCCTTGCCTTGGTCGTTCGGGGACCTGGCACCTCGAGGGGTGGGGGCCGTCCCCAGCTGACATTTCTCATCTTTCGAGAGCACAGTCAGTCCTCCTTTCTCCAGCCGGATCTCGGCACTGTACCTCTTCATGCCTTTGACTTCCGGAGAGGACACATCCCTGTGTTTGAGAGAGAGAGAAGTGGACCGGAGCTTGACGGGAAAAGGGTTTCTGTCCTCCCCCGGGGGCGGCTCCGGAGCGGCGGGGCAGGGGTCTCTCGTGGCCGGTGTGGTCGCCGCATCCCGTGGGCCCGGGCCGGGCCCGGCCTGGCTGGTCGCCCTGTCCTCTGAGTCCCGGGCGCCGCACTCAGCTGGCGAGGAGGGCTTCGGAGGGTCCAGTTTTCCATCCTGGGGCTCGGGCAGTGCCTGGAGGTCGTCGAGTGCAGCCTCGCTCTTCCAGGCCATGCTGCTCCTCAGAAGGGGCAGGCGGACGGCAGAGCCCGCGGGGCCGGGGCGCTCGAGCGGCCGGGCGCTGCCCCTGCGCGGCCACCCCCTGCCCGACGACACGGAGAACTTGTGCACGCCGACCTTCCGCTCAGGCGCCACCCTTTCGGGTACCCCCTGTGGGGCCTCCACCTGCTCAGCCCTGGGGGGCTCCGGGGCTGCAGCCTCTTTGTCCAGGGAACAGGGAGGGGGCTCCTCTGCGGCGGGCGGGGTGGGAGACACGACGAGGCTCGCGGCCGCTGCCGGGGCCTTGTGCTTCAAGCAGCTCTTGGGGGCGGGGGGGCTGGGGGCAGGAGCCTCGGAAGATTCCTTCTCTGCTCCCTCGGGACTGGGCACTTCCAGCATCAGCTCCATCTCCTTCTGGACATTTTGGTCCAGCTCATCCGGACCAGAGGGAGTCTCCAAGCTGGTGGCAGGGTCAGTCTCAGAAGACGTCATGTCCACCTCAGGGATGTAAGAAGACAGTTGACTCTCCACGTCTCCAGAAGCAGAAACCACCCCATCAGCTGTGTCCTCGGCTAGGGGACATGTGCTTGCAAGGGGCAGCTCCTCCCTCTGGTTTTCGCTGCTGGGATTAGGGTACAGGGAGCCTTCTGGCAAAGATGGGGACTCTGAGCAAGGGGCTGGGCCTAACTCAGGCTCAGTAACCTCTGGGGTGTCCGGGTGACTTGGGGGGTTATCCTCAGGGGGGCTCTCCTCCTCAGCGCTGGCACTGAGCGCTGGGGAGTGCTGCAGGCGAGCCCGTCTTGCCCGCGGCCCCCCAGGTTGCAGCATGGTGGCTGGCCCCTCAGGTTCAGGGCCTCTGGGCAGTCCCACATCCTGCTGTCTGGAACTGGGGTTCTCTTCCGTGCTGACTTTGGGTAATGGCTTCTCATGGTCTTCCTCCTCCTCTGGGGTGCATGTCAGATCGCTCAGGGATTCGGACTGTGCTCGCTACAGAAATAAAGAGAACAAAAGATAGCATCATTACATGGAATCTTAGGAAGCCTGTGACCTTCCTATTTTGTTCAAGGCTTAACGTGGTTTAAAGGAAGCAGCATGTCTAGAGCTGGCACTTAAGCGGACATTCACACACAGGTGTCTTAATGCCTTCCTTACTGGTCTATTTGGAATGCTGCCTCCCAAGTTCAGCTTTCAGCAGCACAGTGGCAGCTAAGCCCTAAAAATAAATGTTGTCTAAGGCTCTTGTGGCTGAGCCACAAAGCCAGGGGACACTGCCATACGGAGGGGAGCAAAGGGAAGGAGACCAGCATCGGCCGGTGGCTGCCACGCTTTGTTCTCTGCACTTGTTATTTCATTTACTCCTCGAGTCGTCCCAGTGAGGGAAGGATTATTCTTCTCTCTTTGCACCTGGAGAACTGGGAGCCCAGAGAGGTCCATACCCTGGTCAGCAGAAAAGCTGGCGCTCTAGGAGCCGGTGCTGCCTCAGAGCCCATCTCCCACCTCAGTGCTCTCTCCCCCAGGGAGGTGCCCTCACAGCGAAGGCAGGCTGGTTTGCCTAAAAGATGATGCGTATCATGGCAAACACAATCAATAGCAAACTTCAGCTTATAGGATAAAGGTCAAAACCATAGCCTTATAGGATAAAGTCCAAACTTTTCAGTTAATTTTAAAAGTCCTACATTCTCTGGTCTTAACTTGTTTCTCCCACTCCCTGCTCAAGTCCTGCCAAGCCCCCACTACGTACATGGCAGACTCTGGGTCTGAGTGACTGGCCGGTTCCTCTCGCCGACACCTCCAGGTTGCTCTGCGGGCACCCCCCAAGAACTGTCTCAGACTCCACTCCTACAGGAAGCCTTGCCTGTCGCTTATGGCTCTCCTTTCTCTCCTGAAGCCTATTGGCCTGACAGTATACACTGCCTTGTGGGATCTTCCTTCTGAAAGGTCTCTGGAATTTAGATTTCATCCAACTTCCTCCTCCTTGCACACAAAGTCAGTCCCTGCTCTCTCAGGAAGGAAAGGAGACCAAGGTAATCATGAGTCCTTCAAAAGCACTATGTGAGAACGACCAACAGGTTGAGGGTGTTGAGGTTGGCCTTTTTAAAAAGTTCGTGACATGAGACCTCAAGAGAGACCCAAGCTGTTGCACAGCGCAGCTCTCTCTTTCCCCTTTTGTTAGGAAACTCTCAGGGGAGTGTTTGCAATAGGTTTTCATTGTTGTTGTTTACTGTTGTTGTTTTAACAATTTTCTAGCTGGCATCTGCTTGCTAAGAGAACACCGGATAACTGGGATGTTTGTGACAATACCTAAGCTATCTCTTGCCAAGACACACAATCCCATTCCTCTGGATTCAAAAAGGCGAAGATGTACAAAGATGTTTACAGAACAATTTTCAAAAGCTGCAGGTTCAAAAGGCGTGACTGCCCTTTTACTAACTACTACAGGAAAATCACTGATGTTGAAACCTCTTTAGGATGTAGGTCATGTTTTAAAGCTATCGGAATCTACACTACGTCAGCACAAAGCTGAGGAGCAGGCCCGGCTTGGGCACATCCCTGCTTGAGCCACTGGCAGCTACGAGGTTACAGTGGAGGCGCCAGGCAGGAAGAAGGCTGGCGTGGAGTGTGGACTCCAGAGCGGGGACTTGGATGCTGCGCTGAGGCTTTGCTGGGAACAAAGCGGCTTCTGACTCAGGCCGGGGTCTCTGGCCGGGTACAGCAGGAAGGATGCGCATGCCCACTCCATCTCCACTGCCTCCCTTCACCTCCTCCTCTGGGCCCTCACAGCAGCTTTGCACCCTGGAGCCCTCCCGAAGACACGGAAGTCAGGGACCCACTGCTCAGCCTGCACCAAGATGGAGACTGTCATGCCTGTTCAACTACCTCCTCTTGCCCGAGAGAACGCGTCTTTGGGCAGCGTCCATGTCATCTCTGGGCAGAGGACACTGCCGATGAGCAGTCCGGGGCAGAGAGGAGGCGTCAGTCTCTGTCTGAGACCTGGGACTTCCAGTTGGCAGCTCTGCCAACCATATAACCTTGGGTGAGTCATCTAATCGTGCTGCTCCAGATAAAACAGAGTTCATAGTCTTTCCTGCTCCTGGCACTGCCTGGCTTGGGATGAGGACCAGCTGGTGTGGTGAGACGTTAGTGTAAACGCTATGGGCGTTCCGCTTCTACTGCCTTGGAGCCACACACAGGGCACCGTTCTGTGCCGCAGGGTAAACGGTGAGATAACAACCAGCGTTTGTCTTTGGCGTGTGTCTCTTTCCCAACCTCTGCCTTGGTGGGGCAGATGGATTCAGCCAAATGCACTCTTGAGTGTGTTTTTTCAAACTCGTAATAAATATCAGTGTAACAGCCAAGGTTTTTTGTTTTTTTTACTAGGCAAGATGGGATTTTTAAGGTAAGAAAAGACCCCTCGACCATGTTTTTTCTAGAGCTCCAAAAGATTCAGAGCTTAGAGGACGTGGAGCAGAGAGCTGACACCACTGACCACAGAGCTGGAGAATGGCCAGCCGGGCCTGGACAGCCGTTCTGCCCAAAGAGAGGAAAGGACTCAGGCAGCAGCAGAAGAGACTGAAGTCGAGACTCTGAAGATGCCTGAGCCTGGGGGGTGGGTAGTGAGAGTGGGTGATGGAGAAGAAACCCCAGACATTAGAGGGGATTAGAAAGGCAGGGGAAACGTGGACCTCACTGTCCAGTGAGGCCTAAGGGACAGCACACCTCTGCAGAAGTCCACAGGGTCAGGAGGGCAGCAGAGAGGGCAGCGTGGTGGCTCTTCCTTACCCTCAGAGCAGGACGGGAAGATCTGAATGCACCTTGGTCCCAAGAGGAGCCAGGGCACCAGGAAGGTCCTCGTGGTTGGGAGAGGGACCTCATGACTGAAGGGCAATGGGGGCTGTGGACACTGAAGGACAGAGGCTTCCAACTTAGAACCCAACAGTGACATGGTGACCACTGGCCAGATACCTGTGCCCAGTCAGGAAAATTCAGATGCCTCCAAAAACGTAACATATCCACGCCTGCTCCCTACCAGGAAGGGAAGGGGAAGAAGCAGGGGAAGATGTGGAGATGACAGAGTTTAAATCAAAGAATGACTGTGTTTACCCAGACTGACTAAATCACATTTTCTGTTATTCTAAAAAATGGGGTTCAAGAGCTAAGTCAAGCTCAAAACTAAAGAAGGAAAGAGGGGTACAGTTCAGTGTAGGGAGGCAGCAAGAGGGCATGCTGCATCGCCACCTGGAGTGTGAGTGGGCTTCCCTCTGCCACCAAGTCCTGGCCAGGCTGCAGCTGGTTACACACACCTGCCAGAGCAAAAGACATCCCCGTGGGAATAAAGCCCAGAGGGAGCTGGCTTTGTCCCTGCCCTGTAGCTCCACTCAGCACTAGGACAGCCAGGTCTGGAATTACTGGGCCTTTCCAAGTCCCCACAGCTCAGAGCCTTTAATTGTGAATGCACTGGATGTACAAGCATTTGCACAAGTTCCCTAGTCCCCAGCTCACACGAGGGCATGAGCCAGAAGGTAACCACAGCTCACTTCTTTCTCCAGCGTCAGTTCCCTCAAAAGTCACCCCAGGTGGCATGAGTTTACAAGGCCCCTACCACATGCCCAAAGGAAAAGCCACTCTCTCCAGGGGGGGTCCCTGAAATCCTGAGAGGCCCCAATCCACTGTCTCCAGCTGAAAAACCTAGTTTGTCCTGTGTGCTTCATCAGCACCCCACAATCTTGTCTCAAAAGAAGGAGGGAGAGGATGTTGGGCTGTGAGCATCCTTCTCAGCACTGTCATTTTCTGGCCAGGGTGGCCCCACACCCTGCCCCTCAGCTCCTCCTTGTAGGCACCACCATACAGGGGAGAAGACAACAGCCCTACGTGGACATGTAACCCACTGGTGCTATGAAGCCACAGTCCTCCACGAGCGAGTTCTTGCCTCCCAGAACTACGAGCTGACGACTGCCACAGGCAGCACGCCCAAAGAGGGGTGAACTTGCAGGGGCCAAGCCCCATGCCACTAAGTAGGTTCTTGGCCACGGCAGGTGTCCACTCTAGTGCTGCAGCTTCTTCTGTCATTCACTCATTCATTGGTTCATTCACTCATGCATTCAAAAATGTTTACTGAATGCCAGCTCTGTGACTAGCATTGCTCCAGGGGCTCGAAGTACAGCTGAGATAAAGTCTCAAAGGAGAACGCAATAAACAAGCGAGTGCAGACAGTTATAGAGGTCCCTTCTGTGTGCGGCCAGTGCTGTGAAGGAAGGAAATACGGTGATGGGACACTGGGGCCACTTTCCATAGGATGGTCAGGCGAGGCTCTGTGGGGAGAGGACCTCTGAGCTGAGACCCTTAGGCTGAGAAGGGGCCAGCCCGGAGAAGAGTGTCTCTGGCAGCGATACAGCAGGTACCCGGGTCCCAGATTGGAGACAGCTTGGAGAGCTCACACAGCAGAAAGGAGGCCAGAGCGTGCTGAGTGAGAAAGAGAAGGAGAGGAAGCCTAAGAGGTAGGCAGGCCCAGGTGTCAGGCCTGGAATGTGGACTTTACACTGAGCGCAGTGGGAAGGCGGTGGACCATAGCACACAGCAGGTTCCTGATAAGGGCTGCAGAATGAACCAATGAATGAATGGATGGGGTGTTTATGCAGGGGAGAGACCTATGTGATTCATGGTGAAAAAAACGGGCAAGCCCAGCTCCTGTAGCATGGTCCCACTGACCATAAGGGTTTCTCAAAGGGCGCCTGTGACCCTGAGCAGGGAGAGGCGGGGGTGGGTGGGAGTGGGGACTGCCAAGGCTGCCCGTCCCGCCTCTGCATGTGGGAAGAAGCCCAATTACCGAAGACAGCCGCCTCATTTTGCTCGACCGCTGGTTGCGGGGCTTAACCAGGAGCTTGTGCTTAGCTGCAGAATTGTCCAGGCAGGAGGAGAACTCTGGGGGATAATCGAAATCAGCCACGGGCGCCAAGCTGCTGTCCGAGGTCCGGGCGGAGACGGTGGCATCACTTGCCTGCCTGGAGAAGAGCTGGTCTGGAGACACCGGCCGGGATGAGGGAACTAAAGAGACCTTCATGGGACAAGGAGCAAACACACATTAACTTCTGGATATGAATGGGAACAGCCAGCACGTCAACTCTCTCCTTTATTGCGCCCAGCCTTCCCACGCTGTCTCTGGCCTTTACGTGAGAGGACACACTTTAAATGTGACTCTCCACAGGGAGGCTTCTCTGAAACTCCTTCAGAAAGGTAAAGTGTTGGGAGTTGTAAGTGTTGGGCCAACCCCTGGAAGCCTCTCACTCATTTCCAAGGCCACGCAGAGCACCTGTGTCCCAGGCACCCTGAGCAGGATAACTGCCTTCACCTCTCACAGCAGCTGGCACAAGCGCTTCAGACAAGAGCTACTTTCTCTGATGAAACAGACCAGCCTGATTTCTCCAAGGTCAGAGTCAGGCTTGGTCCTGTCTCCAGAAGCCGAGAGGGTGGCCCAGGGGTGTGTTTTACAGGCTGGGGCACAGCACGTGCTAAACCCCCCCCCCCCCCAGCATTCCATCACTGTAGCTACACTGGTTCATTCTAGAAGAGTTCTGTATCTTCATGTGTCCTCTTGGAGAAAGCTGGCTTTAAGTTACCACCTGTTAAGTCTCAAATATTTGACTGGTTTATAGCTCAGCAGGGAGTAATTGACAGACAGCCAAGAGCAAAAGTGTTGCCACGAGGGAAGAGGATTTGGCTAGTCAGGCAGAAGAATGCCAGTAACACCCTAAGACACCTGCCCACTGAACTTGGCAAGCTCCTCCACAGAGTGAGGTCTACGTGGGTTCTCCTGCAAAGGCATTATCGGCATAAAGTACTGGAGGGGCACCCACTGCACACCCATGTGCAGGTTCAGCCCAGATCCAAGGAGCGAGGTGCGGAGAGAGAATTTGGGAGATGCTGGGCTTTACTTACAATCCTGCCAGCTACAAACCAAAAAAACCTCCTCTTCCAGCACAGTGCTCAATATTAGTGTCAAGTTTACAGTTTTTTCCAAAGTTTGTTATTTTCTAAATTTCTCATTGTAGTAAAATACACATAAAATTAACCAACTTAACCACTTTTAACGGTATGGTACAGTGGCATTAGATACATTCATGTTGTTGTGCAACCATTACCACCATCCGTCTCCAGAACTTTTCCTTTTGTAAAACGGAAACTCTGTACCCATTAAACCATAGCTCCCCATTCTACCTTGTCTCTATGAATTTGACTACTCTAGCTATCTCATATTAAGTGGAATCATATAGTCTCTGTCTTGTTTTGTTGGGCTTATTTCACTTAACATAATGTCCTTAAGCTTCATCCATATTATAGCATTTGTCAGACATTCTCTCCTTCTCAAGGCTGAATAATGTTCTGTTTATGTACATACCACAGTTTGTTTATCCATTCATCTGTCGATGTACACGTGGGTTGCTTCCATGTTTTAGCTATTGTGAATGCTGCTGCTATGAACACGGGTGTACAAATACCTCTTCAAGAACTTGCTTTCAATTCTTTCGGGTAATACCCAGCAGTGGAATTGCTGGGTCATATAGCAGTTCTATTTTTAATTTTTTGAGGAACTGTCATACTGTTTTCCATAGCAACTGCACCATTTTACATTCGCATCAACAGTGTGCAAGGGTTCCCTTTTCTCCACATCCTCACCAATACTTGTTATTTTCTGTTTTTTTGACAGTAGCCATCCTAACGGGTGGAAGTGGTGTCTTTACATTTTAATTTAAGACCATAATTTTAGGCACCTCACAATGATTTAGTAAACCCTCAGGAAGTCAGTCTCCTCAGGAAGGAGGCAGCAGAAAAGACGCTGGCAGCGAGGGGCATGGGTGTGTCTTGCTCACTTTCTTTTCCACAACCCTAGAGTTCCACAGGGAGCAGATGCCCAGCAGCCTCCGCTAAACTAGAGGGGGAGCCAGAAGGACGACACTGTTAGAGAGATGGGCTCGGAGGCAGGGACTGCCTCCTGCAAGGGAACGGCCACCGAGAGGGACATATTCTCCCTGTTAACATAAAGGTCCCTCACATTTTCTAATGCACGTAGAAAGTTTATGGCTGTCAACTGGGAGAAGACAATTACTAAAATGAGGAGAAAAGGGTTATAAGTGGACAAAATCTATTTTAGTTCTCTTGTTTTAGCTACTCAGATTCTTACGGGAATAAAGCAAGAAAAATTATTTTTAAAATAAACCACAGGACTCCTGGCCACAACTTCCCCTGTGCCTGTGGCTTTGGCTTCCACCGTTGCAGCTGAGGACTCAGGAAGTCACCTTAGGTTGGACAGGCCACACCTTCCCAGTTGGTCCTCCTTAAGGGTCACAAGCAGGATGGCTGCATTTCAAATCATACAGATTCCTTCATCTTCACCCTTGTCTAGAGGAATAATGTAGACAAACACTTGGTAAAATTTTGTTTCTTGTTTTTCTTACGGTCTGGGACTCAAGAGAACAGACAAGGTGAGCTGCTTTGCAAATGCAGTGACTCCATGAATGAGAATGATGACTTCGTTTGTGACAGTACAGGCCTTGGTCACCCCTCCATAAACCCAAAGGACATGCATTCCCTGCCTCCGCTCCACTTGGGTCCCCTGGGTTTGCAGTGCCTGAGCAGACGGTCCTGGGCTCGGGCCTGCTCCCCGGGCTGGGGGCCCTTGGCAAGGAGTTTAATTTGCCTGACACTCTGAACAACGGGCTGTCCCCATACAACCCCTGCGCTGGCTGTCACAGCTGATCTTCCTGCCGGGCACTGGAGTCTCACTCCCCGGTCTCCGCCCTCATTCTGGGGCTGGAAAGACCAGTACCCTGACGACCAGGGCAATCATGAGTTCTGTCTTTGCTCAGTGAAGCAACTACGTGAGGTGGGTGGGGTTCAAGGGGAGGAAGACAGCACAGGAAAGCCACCCTGCGTTTTCCTCAGCGGGATGGCAGCATTGGAGCATTCCATTTGCATTGCTTGCTCCCAGTCACCTATTTTTTCCTGAGATCTGTACTTACGGATGATTCTGGAACTGGATGATTTAGAAGTCTAACAGGTGGCCCTTTGTTGGAGGAACGTGGCTCAAAAGGCCCTGAGGAAATGGTCTGGGGTTCAGAGGCTTTCTGGAGGTGACCCTGAGTGACAGCTGCTTGACAATGTTTGCCCTCAAAAAGAGGGGCTCAGCCCCTGAGGAGTGGCCAACAGACAGGCAGCAGAGGTGGTGGGCCGGTCCAGGGAAGGGGAGCCTGGGGACCCAAGTTCCTGTGGCATTTGCTGTGAGGGATGCGAGGCACCGACCCGCCCCATCTCATTTAACCCTCTCCAAACCCTCTGAGGACAGACTCCTAGAGGTGACAAAACCTGCCCAGAGCCTCGCCCCAGCCGTGGGTGCGTCTCCTCCTTCAGCCCAGAGCTGTGCTGTCTCCACTTGTCACCTTCCCTCAGCAGCTGGAGCAAAAGAGACCTGCCAGTCTGCCACCCTCTACCCAGCGTTTCCTACCTGCTGGCAGGAAACCGAGGATCTGAGGAGTTAGATGTAATTTACCTTAAAAATCACCAGGTTCATCAGTTTTTACCTCATGTGGTAATGAAAAAAAAAAAATTCCGTGCTATGTCCTGAAAAACCCATTCTGTCAGGAAATATCACCTTGGCAGTGTCATCGAGTATTTGTTACTGAAAATCTTTTTTTCACAATATTCTTCATTAAATTTCTCTGTCAAGTATGTGGGGTTGTGTAAGGCGTCACAACAAGAAAAAAATAGCCCACAATCCTGTCCTTTTGGGATTTAAGGCACCATTATATCAAATTCCATGTGTTATGTAAACACATTTTAAAGAGTGCATTGTTTTCCCTCTCAATGGCCCACTATGCCCCCAAAATTTCAGGGCACCAAACACAATCACTGTGTCTTAAAAACCATGGTGATAAAGATTACCTACTTTTTTTAAGTCTTAAAGGCTCAAATTTTGGTTTCCTATGAAGTTAGTGAATTGTTCATATTACCCAATAACTGATTAAATCTCAGAACATTTTTTGTTAGGTAACATCACCACCGCAGGAGGAATGTTGAGGAGGACGAGGTCAGCCCTGCCCAGGAGGCGCGGCTCCCACTCAGCTAACTGTGGAATTTGCACATCACTGGGCGTTGTGGGCTTGGAGCCAGGCTCACTCCTTACCAAAAGGAATTAGGAACTACCTGTTCCTCGGTACTGTCTGTCCCGGCTAAACACAGAGAATTACGATGCTGCAAGAGTCAGAGAACTGTGGGCTGGAATGAGGGTGGGTCAGTCCATGAAGGCTCATGAGAGACATCTCCCCACCACATGGCCCCAAAACATACAAAGTCACATCTGGTCCTAAGGCTGCACATCTGAGGGTGTAGACAAGGAGGTGCCTGTCACCTGGTCGTTACACCTTAGGCAGCCATGATCCCGTCAACTTTACCCTCCAGTATTTTACGGTGTTAAGGGGTGCAGGGTTGGTTCAGAGTCCAGGAAATGGGCCAAACCATCCTCCTTGTCCTCTTCCTTCTCCTCGAGGTGGGAGAGCAGGTGTGGGTAGCCCACTGTCCTAAGACCCTGCTCGTGGTTCACTTAGAGCAGGACCCTGGAGAGAACAATTCTCTAACCAGCTCTGTGTGAACCCCACCCTGGGGCTTATGTACACTCAGCCCCACCACTGCCCTTCCCCTGCATTTCACCAGTGATGCTCTGGGAACCCAAACCTGCACCCAAAACAGGTAACTATTCCTTCCCCTGCCTCTGCAGTGGGGCTTCTGGACGTCCAAGTTGCAGTCCTACTGATCGTTTCAGAGCAGCATAGAATTGGCGAGATGGCGATTCACAATGAAGCCCCCAAGACTCCACTGTGAATGGCCCTCGACCAGGGACCAAGTGACTGCTCCAAGGACACACAGGGCAGGTGTGTGTATAAAAATGGACTCCGGCTTTTATTTGTTTTTCAATTGTCAGCATAACACGGGTAACTCCAAGTCTATCCACCCAACAGCAAGGTTTGTCTACAAGGGAAAAGTGATCATTTATGTACAAATACATTGTATGGGTTTAAAATGGCAGCACCACGAGTGGGCTATGCTGTTTATACGTGAGAAAGCTTAATTCCTCCTCGTTGATTCTAATGGGGGAGGGTGGTATCTGAGACGAGTGCTCCTGCCCTGCTGAGGTCATAAATAGCTCTCCTGCTAGTCATACTTACCCTGTTGCCCTGATGCCCAGCACCATGCCTCATATTTCTACCCCTAACCTGACAGGTTTTCACAGTCCCACACTCCAATATGGGAGCCTGGATTAAGTCATGTATGTGTACCACTCTCTTCTCCCTCTGGCTAAATGTCACGACAATAGAAAAGAGGCACAAAGGTGTTTCCCTTCTTTTAGATGAGATGCCCACTCTGGTCATCTGCTCAGACAGGAAAAACGAGGTACAGGGTTGATGATATCAGACCTATAACCATCATGAAAAATGTTACCCAGACAGTATTTCCTACAAGTCCTGCATTTCTGCTCAAAGAATGAAAACAAACACAGCCCAAGGACTGACTGTGGTTCCAGTGACCTGGTCTGGGATTCCTCCTGGCCACACCGAGCACGTCCACACCCACCCATGGGAATCTTAGGGGAACACACAGGGGCCACCAGAGCCCTGGCTGCCCTCTGTGGTGGGTGCTGACGGAGACGAGGCGAGGCGCAGGCTGCACTTGCCTTTATGGTTGTGCCGGGACCCATGTCAGGCAGCAGGGACATCTCTGGGGGGCTCCTGGGCAGACCGTCGTCCTCAGAGCTCATGCCGGCATCATCTCCTCGCTTGGCAGGAAGGCCCCCTGGAGGAGGTGGCGGCCCCATTTTCACATTACACTGTATTTTTAACTAGATTGGAATAAAGAACATTAGCTCATGTTTTCATCAGCGACTTTTATCAACAAATCCTCCTGCTCCAACTCATGCATTCAGGAGATATTTTCAAGGCCCTGGCCCGATTCAGAGACTGAACTGAAAGAAAATCTGCCACCAGCTCTCTTGCCGTTATCTTGAAAATGAGCGGTTCTAACTTAGAATGTGTCAAGACCTGGCTGTGACTAACTCGGCGTGTCCTGGGATAGTTGCGATGTGAGTGCAATTATACTTTAAAACATATCAAACTAAGCGAGCAGAAATCATTTAAAAACTTCTCCATTCACGTTTGACATACATATCAAGTGACGCTGCCCTGGAAGCATTTACCTGCAGAGCTTTGATCCGGTCACACACATTTTCTTGGGAAAACACCCGCACAGGCCGAGCAGGGTCCTGTCCCGACTCAGGAATGAAAATACTGTCGTGTGAGAGGGCCCGGCTGCCCAGCGCGCCCCTCGACTCCCTAGGAAGAAAGAGGCACAGTGAAACTCTGCTCAACTCCACCTCTCACCGGGGTGCTCGGGACGAACAACGGGGATGTGGGTTAACGGGATATCATGCAACAAGCCTTCCGTTACGTTCAGTTTTTAACTGCTTCTGACTTCAGTTTACGTCCACTCTGTCAAGTACCACAGTTAACTATTAGGAGCACTGTAGAGATAGAAATTTTCCTGACACATCTGAAGGTTGTGTGAATTCTTTTCATTAATGGAAAAACCAAGGTCTGATGAGGTGTGTGGTCCAAGACAACAGGCCTGCAGAAAGGAAGGGCTGGCAGGAGGCCTTTGCTGGCTGGTGGGGTTGTGCAGAAGACTGTCATGGATGCCCAGGACAGTGAGGTCATTCTGTGGGCAAACATGCAGCCCCTGGGTGGGCTGGAGGCTGTGTCTGCACAGCATGCTGAGGGCTGCCAGATGGAGGCATGTTCCCAAGGTGGCCCAAAACACACATCCACGGGAGGGTTGGAAATGAGGGTTCCAAGTCTGCAAAGCCACTCCCTCCTTTTATGACTGGACGTGATCTGTGCAATCCAACCTTCGTGCCTGGGTCAGGGAGGGTAGGCGGCAGGCCCTTCTGTCATCACCGGCCCAGCCCCTTCCCCAGCCCCGAGCTCAAGGCTCCAATTTGAAACTGAACCCACAGGACATTCACAAAATGTCCTAAGAGGACTGTGAGTTAGCTGTCAGATTTTCCTAGCAGTGGTAGCTGCCTGAACAATAGGTGGAAGGAGATGACTGAGACCTGATGATGAAGGAAGGAAAGCCTGCCCCCAAAGACACTGGATATCTCGTGTGCCACAACCTTCCCCCCGACCCTGCTCCGGGCATCCTGTCCTCTGGGAGGTATTAGGGACTATAGGTGGGGCCCTGCTCCACAGCAGATTGAACTGTGTTGGTTAGTGATGCTTTCTGACTTCTTTCTAGCCTGCAATAGCAAGTTTGCAAGTGGGAACCCAGGCCTCCCAGAAGGGTGTGTCCTCACATTTCTGAGAGGGAGTCAAGCCAAGTGAAAGAACCAGGCAGGCCCTCCCTGCCAATGGCAGCTCTTGTCAGAAAGATCCCACCACACCTGGGGTTCCCTCCTGCGGTGGGCGGCCCCTGGCCACACCCTCTGGAAACCACGACCACTGCCCAAGCACTGCCACTGTGGGTGTCACCATGAGTTGAGACAGCATGAAAAACCTCCACAAAAATACACTGGCAAGACCACACAATGCCATACGCGCAAGGCCATTCACTACAGCAACATTTATAGAAGCAAAAGGCTGGAAACAACCCGCATGTCCTCAGTGGGTGTCTGAATAAACTAAGGAACATCAAATAATGGAGACTCTGCAGCTGACCAGATGGGTGAGGAGGATCTCTGTAAACTGTATCCAGGCAGCAGCAAACCATACGAAGTAAAAAATAATGAAAGAAGGAGGGCAGAACAGTGCTCATGGTGTATTGGCTCTGTGTGGGGAAGGGGGTATGGATATATATGAAATCTGAGAACAGATGTGTGTGTTGGCTTATATTCTTAAAAACAAAAATAGAAGGATCAGTAACAAATGAATGAAAACGGTTTCCCGTAAGGGAAGGACAGAACAAGACGGGGAGACAGGGTGCCAAGGTACCTATTTACCTTTACAATTTTGTCTTTGAAACTATGTAAATATTTTACATAGTTAGAAGGCAAAATCAAACAAAAAGGGAAATAAAACAATTTCTAAAACTAGAAAACAAACAGAAACAAACAAGCCTAATTTTACATCAGGTTGTTGGCATCACCACACAGAGAAAAAAATGATTTCAAGTGACTTTAACTCGACATTCAAGCGACTTTTGACTCTACATCCATAATAGGATAAATTCTAAGAACAAAAAAACACATAAACCGTACTCAATAATCCTGTTAGTAGTAATAGCGACAAAAATAAAAATCAAATTGCACTCGGTAGTCTTATTAGTAGCAATATTTATTTTAAAAAAACAGTGCAGAACAATCTTCATAGTATGTAACCTCTGTGTGGGAAAGGGGGTAATGAAACTATTATAAAGAAAATAATTTTGTTAATATCATTAGGAACTAAAATTTCCAGTGTAAGACAAAAGTGAATTCAAACAAAAAAATCAAAGAAGTAAAAATTTTGTCTTATTAAATCTGAACTGGAAATATCAGTGAATTAATGACATTTCTTTCTTAAAAAAGAAAACATATTTCCTAGCTATTTCTACTGGAAAGGTCTAGAAGCAATAACAGCCAATTAGCATTCACCTCTGGCAGCCAGACTGTGGTTTCTAAAAACCATTTCATACAAAAAGGATCCAGGAACCTGTGAAGAAATTGCTGATTATAGTTCTAGGCCAGGAAATGTGGGGCAAAATAAACCTGAGATTTCTCATTGTGCAAGTTTTCAACGACAAATGGGGTCATGTCAGAAGAACCCAGGAGCTAATTTGAAGTGACTCCCAATAGCATAAGATGGGACAGTGTGAGCATAAAAATGAATCAAGACTATTACAGGTTAAAGCAAATACATAAAAATCCATGCATTCACAATGATATTCAAGAAAAAAGAAAAAAAAAAACCAACACTCATTGGTCAGTACTGGAAGTTGCTAGGGTACCAGGTCACTACTCTGAAAGCAGATTGATAAAAGAAGAACCAAGAATTCTCCTGCCTTTCCTGTACAAAATGTATTTCAGAGCCACCAAGGAGTTGATGAAGGAAAGGTCTTCTTCATAGAAGAATTCCAGCTAGCACGTGCAGAGTGGATGACAGAAATAGAAAAAACACATTTTGCAATGAAATAAGGGATCTAGGCAATGATCCTCGGCAGGTGTTAAATCATTAGGTGAGGGCTGGTGGAGGGATCTCACTGAGAGAGACCCCCTGAATCCACTGCTCAGTCTTAGTGTCAGTAGAAGTGGGACAACCAGAAAGTATGCGTCTCGTGATGCGATGTGACCATAAGTATCCAGCACCATCTTGAACCTAAATCTAATTAATATCTAGATCCATCTTCCGTTTTACAAGAAATTCAAGGAATACAGGCATGAGTTCAGTCATACTAAGAGAAAGCAAAACCAGAATATGGGATATTCTGCAAAGCAAATGACCCTGTTCTTCCATCAGATCAAGGACATGAAACACAGTGGAGGGGATTCTTATAGATTAGGAGACTTAAGAAGCATAACCACACAGACACAATAAGTGGGCATCAACTCTTTAAACCCACAAAATCCCGTGTGGTTTCCCAGCATTAATGTACTTGGCAAATGGAACTCTTTTGCCCATGGTGATGGACGAGAAGTTGGCGCAGAGACTAGAAGGCACACAGACTCTCAAAGAGGCTAAAGAATGCCTTTAAGATCTTATCTTTTTTATGGTCAATTAATTTATGAGAAAGGAGCCAAGAAAATACAATGGAGAAAGGAAAGTCTCTTTAATAAACAGTGCTGGGAAAACTGGACAGCCACATGCAAAAGAATGGAACTGGACCACTATTTCACACCATACACAAAAATCAAAATGGATTAAATACTTGAATGTAAGACCTGAAACTATAAAACTCCTAGAAGAAAACATGGGGTGTAAGCTCTTTGACATTGGTCTTGGCAATGATTTTTTGATTTGACACCAAAAGCAAAGGCAACAAAAGCAAAAATGAGCAGGTGGGATGGCATCAAACTAAAAAGCTTCTGCACAGCAAAGGAAACCATCAACAAAATGAAAATGCAACCTAAAAAATAGGAGACAATGTTTGAAAATCACATATCTGTTAAGGGGTTAATATCCAAAATATATAAAGAACTCATACAACTCAATAGCAAAAAAAACCAAACAATCCTGTTAAAAAACGAGCAGAGGATCTAAAGAGACATTTTTCCAAAGAAGACATACAGATGGCCAAGAGGTACATGGAAAGGTGCTCAGCATCGCTAATCATCAGGGAAATGCAAATCAAAACCACAATGAGATATCACCTCACACATGTTAGAATGACTACTATCAAAAAGACAAGAAATAACATGTTGGCAAGGATGTGGAGAAAAGGGAAGCCTCGTATACTGTTGATAGGAATGTAAGCTGGTGCAGTCACTATGGAGGTTCCTCAAAAAATTAAAAACAGAACTACGTATGATCCAGCAATCCCCCTTTGGGGTATATGTCCAAAGGAAATGAAAACAGGACCTCAAAGAGCTATCTGCACCCTCATGTTCATTGCAGCATTATTCACAATAGCCAAGATAGGCAAACAACCTAAGTGTTCATCAGTGCATGAATGGATAAAGAAATATGGTGTATATATATATATACACGACAGACTATTATTTAGTCATGAGAAAGGAGGACATCCTGCTATTTGCCACAACATGGGTACACCTTGAGGGGAATGCTAAGTGAGATAACATCAGACAGAGAAAGACAAATACTATATGATCTCACTTACATGTGGAATCTAAAAAAGCCAAATTCACAGGAATAGAAAATAGAGAGGCGGCTGCCAGGAGTTAGGGAGCTGGGGGAAATGGGGAGATGCTGGTCAAAGGGTACGAACTTCCAGTTATCAGATGAATAAGTTCTAGGGATCTATAGCACAATTTGTATAACACAGTTATTCTAGTTAATGACACTATATTACATACTTGAAAATTGCTAAGAGAGTAGATCTTAAATATTACCACCAAAAAAAGAAAGAGTAATTAGTTGACATGATGCAGGTGTTAGCTAACGCTATGGTGGTAATTATTTTGCAATATATATGTGTATTAAATCAACACATTGTACACCTTAAACTTCCACAATGTTATATGCCAATTTTATCTCAATGAAGTTGGGAAAAAAAGAGAAAAATCTTGCTTCATCCTCTGTGCTGCTCTCTAAAAACATTATTTGCACTTCTGGGGCCTCATCATACCCCACTCCTAAGCTTCCTTTCCTAGCATCACTCCAGCAACCTTGACCAGTAACTGAGGACTGGGCCCCTGCTAGGTGCTGGGACTATGAAGGTGAAAAGAACACTGTCCCCACTTTCCACGTGCTCTGGTGATAGAGAGGAGACAGACAAGCGGACAGGTCATTTTCCCCAGCTTATTCCCCCTGCTGTAGTTGGAGGGCCACTGTGTGCTCTGGTCAGAGATGAGGGGGAGTGTTATGGCTTCCCTGGGGCTAGCCCAGTGAAGACATTTAATAATTAGCAATATTATCACGATAATGTCTTGTTCCCCAAGAGTCAAGCACACTGCCTAAAAAAGGCACGTACAGTCCTTCCTTTCTGTGCTTCATAAGGTGCAACGTGCATACATCCTGCTCCCTGCCAGCACCAGAAAAAAAACACCTGAAAAAAAACCCAGCAAAACCTCGAATCTTTCCTCTCCAGTCGTTTGGCGCCACCAAGTGGTCAGCGTAATTTCTACTCCTTTGAAAATAGGCGAGGAGACCGGTGAGAAGGAGGGAGGGGACAGACACCATCACTGGGATGCTGAAGCCCGTGACCCCCTCTCAGCGTGGTCTGCTCCTCGATCCGGAGGGTCATTATGCCTTTGTAAGAACTTTATACTCAAATCAAGGGGCCAATGTTGTTTAAAAGAAAATATAAGAGCTGTCATGGCAACAGATACGTTTTTTCCCCTTTTAATCACAGAAATAACTGCTGGGATAACTGAAGCATATGGATTGTAACCATATTTTGATGGAGTGCAAGTTACAAACATAAGGATTTCTTCACTAGACATCCCCAAATTTTCATCCCTATTGGGTCTGTTCTTCCTAACAATATTTTTGGATGATTTTTCTAAGACTGAACAGCAGGAAGCCTTCCACCCCACCCCCCTCTGTCTAATGGAAAACTGTCACATTCAGTTACTCAAAGTTCAGGTTTAGAGACATGTATCTTTCTAGTATAGTATCCAGGTCCTCAAAAGAGTTTTATGTCAAATTAAGTGAGGGCTTACATCCTAATCTGGCCACTTTTGGCCACAGGACATTGGGCAAGTTCTCCACAGTTTCTCTAAAGCTTGGTTTGCTCATGTATAAAATGGTCTGTCTCACCTCCTCTCCCACAGTTATCGTAAACTTGTCATACATCCAGCACCTGGGACACAGCACGTATCTGAAAAAGTCGACCCCCCCGCCCAACCGTCTCCATCCCTACGTATGAAAGGACAAAAAAAACAACTTCTGTGCAAGAACTTCCAACGGAATTACCTAGGAGGAAAGTAGGCTCAGAAATCCAGCGAGTCACCAAGACAACAAGACAGAGTATTGGGGTTCCCCTGTGCCCCCTCCCGCTTACTGGGGCGCACCAGCCTGAAGGATGGAAAAGGCAACTTACTCGAGCTCATCCTCTGAGTCATAGCCCACGGGCCCCGACTCAAGGGCAATGACCTCACTCTTCGCCTGACTCTGTTTCCAGGAGCTACTTCCTGTGGACGAAGGCGATTCCTTTCTCTTCTTCTTCCCAAAGAACTTCTTAAAAGTTTTGAATTTGGATTTTTTCTTTCCTAGGCAGAAAGAATGCACGTGAGCTCTTACCAAGTGTGAGATGTGCATGAGAAGGAGAGAAAGCGAGATTTCTGTCCATGCACCAATTATTCACTCCCCAAGTCCTTTTACCACACAAAAGTACATGAAGTGCAGTGTTCCACTTCTGCACAACTGAAAACCAATCTTGATTTCTGTTTATTTTGAGCATCTAATAAAAGAGCCAAGAAAGCTTTGGCGCATGATCACAGAATCAAACCACAAGCAACTCTCCTCTCACTTGAGATTGTTTTTTTTTAACAGGTCTTTTACCCCTTTGGTTAAATTTATTCCTAAATAATTTACTGGTTTTGATGCAACCACTTTTTTTCTTCTTTTTTTGCTGAGGAAGATATGACCCTGAGCTAACATTTGTTGCCAATCTTTCTCTTTTTGTATGTGAGCCACCATGACAGCATGGCCACTGACAGATGAGTAGTGTAGGTCTGCGCCCGGGAACTGAGCTCAGGTCACTGAAGCAGAGTGTGCCAAACTTAACCACTAGGCCACGGGGGCTGGCCCCTTATTTCTATTATACATTTGTTTTGCCCATTCTTGAATTCATTCATACGCTGTATGAATGGAATCAGACAGTACACACTCTGGTGTCTGGCTTCTGTCACTTCACATGCTGCTTTGGAGATTTTTGTGATGATGCATGTCTTAGTATGCGTTCTTCTTTCTTAAATTGCTGAGTAACATCCCAGTGTATAAATAAAATCAAGTTTTAGTCTCTAAAATATATCTAGTCAAAAGCAAAAAGTCCTGAGGAGGTAAAGGCCAGGTATAACCCAAATTATTTTTCAAAATAAGCTTCCAGTGCTCCATTTAGCATGGACATGAGCACCAAGGACAATCAGAGGAGGCCCAGCCTCCGGGGCAAGAGGAGCTCGGGAGCGCCGAACGCCATGATGTACAGCTATGTACTGGGGGGCTTTAGGGAGAAAGAAAAAAAACAAAAAACATTCTGTGATCTCTGATGTCTCCTTCATTCTCATCCACAAATTCTACCCTATCCAGGTCCCGTGATTTCACACTAGCAGCTCAGCAATCTGTTTCTTTCCTTCCAAATATTTATGAGAACTAACAATAGAAGGATGCAACATCAGAGCTTACCAGGATGCTGTCTAATATGTCCTGAGAATTTGTTGAAACAATTTATTAGTTTTATAAGTAAATGATTTTTTTTTTTGAGGAAGATTAGCCCTGAGCTAACTGCTGCCAGTCCTCCTCTTTTTGCTGAGGAAGACTGGCCCTGAGCTAACATCCGTGCCCACCTTCCTCTACTTTATATGTGGGACGCCTACCACAGCATGGCTTGATGAGCAGTGCCATGTCCGCACCCGGGATCCGAACTGGCGAACCCTGGGCCGCCAAAGCATAATATGCAAGCTTAACCGCTGCGCCACCGGGCTGGCCCTAAGTAAATGATTTTGTAATCTGCGTTCCTTTAAAAAAATCCAGATCTTTAGATTTTGTTTACATGGATGCCCCCTGGGAAGTTTACATGATGTTGCCTTAATGTGGAGAATTACTTGGGATTACTCTCGTTGGAGCTCCTACATTACCTCAGGTGGAGCAAATCCCTCCCCAAAGGGAAATTAGTTCTACAGTCAAGTTTCCTTACCCTTATAATCAGGAGATGTTTACGTTGTTAACTGATGGTTCGAAAAGAGAGTTTCTTATTTGGAAAGGCACCCTGTGGACAGCAGCACAGAACCCTGCCCGGCCCTTTCGTGCTATCCTCTCACCTGTCAGCGCTCTATCACACAATGCTCCACTGCTATTCACAGGGGTTTTCATGGCCAATTTTTTTGGAAGTGACCGGCCAGATCTTTCTTCCTCCTGGTCTATTTTTAGTCTGGAGGCTCACTGAAAACTGTCCACCATGGGTGACCCTGCTGGGATTTGAAATACCAGTGGCACAGCTTTCAGCATCACAGGAACACACAGCTGCCACAGAGTGACAACCCACAGACGGATGCTGTGGTTCCCTGACCGGGAAACGAACCTGGGCCACGGTGGTGAGAGCCCCGAATCTTCGCCGCCAGAGGCCCAGGGCTGGCTGGCTAACGGTCTCTACTGAACGTTTCTTTTTTATTGTCTTAATTTCTGTTCTTATCTTTATTCTTTCCTTCCTCCTACTTTCTTCAGGTTTACTTTGCTATCTTTTTAAACTTCTTGAGATGAATACTGGCTTATTAATTTTTAGCCTTTTTGTTTTTACAATATACCCATTCTAGGCAATACATTTCTTTCTAAATCTGTTTTAGTTGTGTCTACATGTTTTGATGTCTAACATTTTCATTATTCTTTGATCTAAAATATTTTCTAATTTCCATTATGCTATCTTCTTAGACCTATAGATTATTTAAGAAAGTATGTCTTAATTTCCAAGCCCTTGAGGCTTTTCTTACTATCTCTCTGCTATTCATTTCTAGCTTCAGTGCATTGTGGTCAGAGAATATACTCTGTATGATATGAATCCTTTCAAATTTGTTGAGACTTGCTTTATGGCTCACCATAAATTTGCAAATGTTCCTAGTGTGCTTAAAAATAATGTGTTTTCTTCAATGTGCTACATATGTTAAGAAGGACCAGGCCTTTTCCTTTTTAATTGTGTTGTCCAAATTCTTTCTCTTTAATTTTCTAATACACTTATTCTATCAATTACTGATAGAGATGTATTAAAAATAACCTACTCTGATTGCAGACTTTATTTAACTGACAATTTCCACTCTATAGCTTTTGACATTATGTTGGTGCATAGAAAGGTAAAATTACTATCTTGCTGGGAAATTGAACCTTTTGTGAAATGGCCCACTTTATTTTTAGTAACACTTTCCGCCTTAAATTTTATTTTGACTGTTATTAATACAGCTTTGCCAGCTTCCTTTTGTCCAGTGTTTGCAACGTATGTGTTTTCTATCTTTTTTTACCTTCAACTTTTCCTAACTCTTACATTTAAGAGATTTAGAGTTTTAAAAATCCAATTGATGATCTTTAACTTCTGGCTGGAACAATTAACGTAATTTGTCCACTTACATTTACTGTAATTACTGATATGTTTTTATTAAAAAACAGGTTGGCCATCTGTTGCCCACAGCAGCAAAGGGCAAGAAATGACAGGTACTGCCAAGGCTATTTGGTTGTTTAAGCAATCAAAGTTTATTGATAAAGGGAGACAGAACAAGGAGCAGGGATAAAGGGGAACAGCAAATCGGTACTTAGAACATCCACACCACGATCAGCTGAGGAAGTCCCAACAGTTTGTACGGCAGGTAGGAGTGCTGATTGTCCGGGACTGTGGCCAAGCGTCCTTTCCTCAGTGAGACTTCCAATTATTCTATGCCTGTGACTCCCTTTTATCCTAAGGTTTCTCTGGGTTCTGACTCAGGATTTCAGACATTTGGATATTTTGAGTTATTTCTTCTTGTTCCCACGGATGGGGTGTTTTTATCTTTTTTGTTCCCATGGATGGGATGTTTCTCAAGTCCTGTCAGGTGCCCATCGAGGTGGCCAGCCCAGACAAGGAACAAGATGCAGGACATATTTTTTGTAACTTGTGCCTTAGAGTCAAGGCCGAAGTGGCCATCTTTGGACCTGAGCCCAGACACATTCCTTTGTGTGGAGCCCAGGCCCAGTGTCCTTGGGGGGGGGGGGGGGTGGTCAATGAACTCTGTACACCAACTTACGTGTTTTTTCTTAATCTCCTTCCTTGCTGTCTTTTGGATTAACTGACTTTTTTTTTTTTAAAGATTGGCACCTGAGCTAACAATTGTTGCCAATCTTCTTTTTTTCTCCCCCTGCTTTTTCTCCCTAAATCCCCCCGTACATAGTTGCACATTTCAGTTGTGGGTCCTTTTAGTTGTGGCATGTGGGACACCGCCTCAACACGTCCGTGCCCAGGATCCAAACCGATGAAACCCTGGGCCGCCAAAGCGGAACGCACGAACTTAACCACTCGGCCACGGGGCTGGCCCCCGGATTAAGAGACTTTTAAAAATTATTCCATTTCTTCTCACTTCTAGTTTGTAAGCTTTACCTTTAATCTCTGATCTTTCAGTGGTTACCCTAGAAATTATACTACTATTATGGGACAAAACAAGGAACTTAGAATACTTCAATCCTATTATGCTCTATTTTTTCATTCCAATCTTGAAAAAACCCAAAAGGTATTATTCCATGATCATCCAGGTGTATCTGCTTGTTTCTCATTTTCTTTGCTCATCATTCTTCCTTGTGTTCCAGACTTTCACCCAGGACAATTTTCCTTCTGCCTGAAGGCAGATTCCTTTAGAATATTAAGGTCTACTGGTGACAAATTCAGTTTTTGTTTGTCTGAAAATGCCTTTATTTCTCCTTCATTCCTGAAATACATTTTTCCTAGGTATAATGTTGTAGATTGGCAGTTGTGTTTTCTAAGTTATTCTTTCAATAACATTGAAGATGTTATTTCAGGTTTGTGGCTTCTCCTCTGTGGTTGAGAAGTCAGTCATCACTTTTTTGCTCCTTTGAAGGTAATCTTTTTTTCCTCAGACTAATTTTAAGATTTTTCACTTTGTCTTTGACTTTCTATATTTTCACTCTGTATGGATTTTATTTTATTTATCCTTCTTGCGATTCACTGGGCTTCTTATATCTGTGGATTGTGTCCTCTTTTTTTTTTTTTTTTTTTTGGTGAGGAAGATTGTCACTGACCTAACATCTGTACCCATCTTCCTCTATTTTGTATGTGGGATGCTGCCACAGCATGGCTTGATGAGTGGTATGTAGGTCTGCGCCTGGGATCTGAACCCATGAACCTGGGGTGACTGAAGCAGAATGTGAGAACTTAACCACTAGGCCAAAGGGCTGGCCCCTGGGTCACCTTTTTTTTTTTTTTATCAATTCCAGAAAATCCTCAGCTTCTCTCTCTGCTGAGACTGTGCTCTGATATATATTATACTCTTTCGCTTATCTCTATGCCTCTTGTCCTCTC